GGAATTGATTCCAAAACCATCAATGAGCAATATGATTGCTTGATGATCTCGGAATCAATTTTGGACAAAAGTTGACAAAAATGCAAAGAATAGGACCACCCCTCTCTCTTGTCATAGTATGAACTCAAAAAGGAAGGTTCCAATGCTTCAAGAATCATCAAAATGCTATGAATTAACATGTGACGACTCTTGACACAAGTAACTTGGCATAATGTCCGGCCAAGTTGAAGCACTTTTAAGCATTTTTCTTTAAGTGTGTTGATCCAAGCTTTAAACCAATTTTATTAGGCCTTGCCATTCTTTAGTCCATTTGTCCATGGTAATGTTAAAGTCCTCTAAACAAGAAGTAATGTCAAACAAGAGGTTCTTCTAAAGCATGAGAGAAAGGCCACACCGTTGGCAATGAATCTTTGTAAAGATTAAGACACTAAGTGCGAACCTTTCTTACATGATTCGAACAACCTCAATTGGTTGAAATCATTCTCAAGTATGAAAGAAATGAATGATGGATTGATTATTGAACTTAGACTCTCAAACATGGAAATGAGTAAAAGAAAGCCATATAACAAACAAAAAGTAACATATGCTTACTTATGAGATCACAAATGTATTAAACAATACATGAACCAATTGAAAAGGCTTGGACAACCTCAAAATAGCCCTTAATACATGAAAAGTAGAGGTAGAATGTGCATGGAAAGAGCTTGAAAAGCTAGACAATAAAGAAGAGAATTAATGCTAATAAGAAAACCCCTCCACTTTTGAAGCTTCAAAACATGATTTTTAGCCTTTCTAAACCACTGAAAATTAGTGTAAATATCAAAGGAAAAGAGTGGACAAGGGAAGGTTTAAGTTATAAGTAAAGGTATAGAAAGAGCAAGTTCTCTCTTCCCTTTTGGTAACTCTTCAAACCCAACCCCAAACACTTCAAATAAGCTTAAAACAATTCAAAACAACAAGGACTATGAAGCAAGTAATAGAAATGAAGGTAAGAGAGAAGAAAACAAACTTATACCTTTCAAGGGGCAAGCTTGTTGTTGATGATTCAAACTTGGCTTCAACTCACTCTCAATCTTGAATTATGCTTCTCCAATATCAACCAAGGCTCTAGGGTGATCAAACAAAGTTATGTATGGAGGATAGAGATGGTATAGACAAGCCAGGTTAGCTCAAAGCTTGCTTGCCATGGAAGAAGGAGGAGACAAGAGCTCTCAAGGTGTATATATGGTTTTTAGATTTTTTGTTCAACCCTCAAAACAATCCCAAAGCTTTGTTTTCATAGAATTCGAGCTCAAAAGGTGATTAATATCTTCAAAAATGGACAGCTGGCGGCCTCCCGCCTAGAACAACATTTATCGCCATCGAGGGCTGGTCGGCCATTCATAGCCCCGGCCGGCCATCACTAATGCACGGCCGGGCCTTGATGGCCTCCCCTATTTTTTTGGTTGAAACTCAGCACAAGGTGGGAAAATGTCCAAAAATGAAACTCACGGGTTCAAACAAGGTAAATGTTAAAGATTTGAGGTTGTTTTGGGAGCCTAATTGAATCTGAATGACTGCAAATTCACAATTCAACTTTCATCATCGAGTGTATTGAACCAAGCTCCTAAGCCTTGCGGGTGGTCAAAAATGGGGTATCTACATGGTTCTTAGTTTCTGTCAACTTATGGCTGACACCTCAACTTCACCACCTGCTTCCATTACCGGCTGTCTCACTTCATCATCACTTTCGGGAAGCCCTTGAAGGCTTTTTCTCAACATTTACAGAGTTTCCAAAGGAGATTACTCCCTGCCGACTGTCAAATGAGGAGTACGAAGGAACTTCAAATCGAGCCACGGATGTGGCCTGTCGTTTTAGCTCTTTATTCTGTTTTTTTAGTGTGCTAATCCTTTCTCGAGCATCCTTGTACATGCGTTAGAGCAGAGAGAGTTGTGTGTTTAACCGATGCACCTCACTTGTCCTATTTTGCAGTCGGTGGGACAAATTGGAAATCGCGGTCACCGTCTCCACACAAAACTTCAATGTATAGTGATTGGCATCAATGTCAGACCATGCTACCATTGTTTTTCTCGAATGACATCACAGGGAAGCTGAGAACAGGAGCAAGGGCAAGGGAACTCTATTGAGGCTCAGAGGAGCCAGTGTTGGCATTCTTAATCGGGGAAGTGTTACGGTTTGGGAAAAGGAAAAGAGAATTGCAAGGAGGAGCCATGTCAGAAATGAAGCGCTTTGGGCTATGGCAGATGGTGAGTTTTATAGTTTTTCATCTCTACTCTATCTCCCTCACAAGTTGTATTTAAAAAGAAGAATGAAGGAGAAGAATAAGCCGAGAGAAGAGGGATTGCTGAGGCAATCTTTGACAGACGACGCCAATCCGGCTGCTGTCAGTTAAGCACGCCGTGATTATTGAAACCGCGCGCCAAATACGGTGCTCAATGAAGACGAATGAGGGGGAGAGAGAGAGAGAGAGAGAGAGAGAAACATGGGGGAGTGTATATGTATATGTATACCGTATGTATATAATGTGTATATATATGTATATGTATAGGTATATAGGTTGTCTGCGTGTATATATAATATGTGTATGTATCCTTATTTTGTATATCGTCCGTACGTATATATATATATATATATATCTACCGTATATGTAACATGTATTTTGTATATAGTTCGTATAAATATATGTGCAGTAGGTATATGGGTTGTATAACTGTTACGTCATTAGTGTGTGTTTATATAAATATAATCCATTTTATGTATATGTATATGTTATATTGTATATTTTATAATACCATTTAGGATTTGAGATAGGTATATATACATACATAGTGTAATTTGCTCATTCATATACATAAAAGAAAGGGATAATATATATCATCATAAGTTTTATGTCATCCTTTTACAAAAACAAAAACACAAAAACACACACAAAAAAAAAAAAAGGAATAAAAGGAATAAAAGGAAAGGGAAAAAGAAAAGTACATCAAAAAGAAGGGAAAAAAAGGCAAAAAGAAAAAATACATCATTCAAAGAAAGAAGCAATAAGCTTGAATCTCTCTTCGTCCTCATTCGTAGTGTGTTATCGGAAGTCTCGACATTGCCACCAGCATTTCCGCCACTATCACTCTCCTTGCTGCTCTCTCCGGAGTCCTTAAAGTGCTCATCAAAAGCCTATGGCTCTTGCTTGGGGATCTCAACAGATACTCTTCTCCCTCTCCTGCCACAGTCATCTCTACCTTAACCTCCTCTCCTTTGTGATGGAGCTCGTCCTGATCTCAACAGATACTCTTCTCCCTCTCCTGCCACAGTCATCTCTACCTTAACCTCCTCTCATTTGTGATGGAGCTCGTCCTCCTCTCTCCCTCATGGCTGGAGGGGCTGCTACCTAAAAAAGATAGAGATCATAATATTAGATCAGGTGGCATAAAATAAGCAATATATCGAAAGTGAATGGAGCAAAAGGAACTTCATAGAAGATAAGGCAAGCAAGAAAATGATACCTCAATCCCAAGGGAGACTAGAGATGCCTCCCTCCTCTTGACTATGACCATTAGTGTGTCGATGAGCTCTAGGCACTGATCCATACAACCCATCTCGGGGTACTACAGATATAAAAAAAAAGGTCAATACTGGTATTGAAATAATGAAAAATACATAGAAAGCATTAAGGGAAAGGGTATACCAATCAGGTCTCTAGAGCGAGGATGAGCGATCATCGTCTGAGAGGCTCCAAGGGTAGCTCATCCAAAATGCCATTCGAAGGCTAAAATGTAACTGCTGTGGAAAGTGACGGATACTCGAGAGGAAATGTAGCATTGTCAGCAGGAGATGTGAGACCTCTAGCTGGAGGAGCAGCACCAGCAAGAGCATCACTGGCAGTTGGGGCATCAACGATTTCGATAATGCGAGCCACACCCTCAGTCAGAGGTGGCATGATGTGAGACCACAGGAATGCAATAGTCTCCGAGAAAGTAGAAGGCATCAATATGCTACCTCAATGCCATGTGATTGATGAGGGCCTCATCAGTGATATCATCAACAATTCTCACGAGTGGAGGAAGAAGAGACGAAATACGAAGATTGACATGGCGCAAGGTCTGGCAAGTGAATCACTTCCCCAAGTACTAGACTCTGCAAAAGGGCCCCTCTCACCATCTCCACACAAAACTTCAATGTATAGTGATTGGCATCAATGTCAGACCATGCTACCATTGTTTTTCTCGAATGACATCACAGGGAAGCTGAGAACAGGAGCAAGGGCAAGGGAACTCTATTGAGGCTCAAAGGAGCCAGTGTTGGCATTCTTAATCAGGGAAGTGTTACGGTTTGGGAAAAGGAAAAGAGAATTGCAAGGAGGAGCCATGTCAGAAATGAAGCGCTTTGGGCTATGGCAGATGGTGAGTTTTATAGTTTTTCATCTCTACTCTATCTCCCTCACAAGTTGTATTTAAAAAGAAGAATGAAGGAGAAGAATAAGCCGAGAGAAGAGGGATTGCTGAGGCAATCTTTGACAGACGACGCCAATCCGGCTGCTGTCAGTTAAGCACGCCGTGATTATTGAAACCGCGCGCCAAATACGGTGCTCAATGAAGATGAATGAGGGGGGGAGAGAGAGAGAGAGAGAGAAACATGGGGGAGTGTATATGTATATGTATACCGTATGTATATAATGTGTATATATATGTATATGTATAGGTATATAGGTTGTCTGCGTGTATATATAATATGTATATGTATCCTTATTTTGTATATCATCCGTACATATATATATATATATATATATTTATCTACCGTATATGTAACATGTATTTTGTATATAGTTCGTATAAATATACGTGCAGTAGGTATATGGGTTGTATAACTGTTACGTCATTAGTGTGTGTTTATATAAATATAATCCATTTTATGTATATGTATATGTTATATTGTATATTTTATAATACCATTTAGGATTTGAGATAGGTATATATACATACATCGTGTAATTTGCTCATTCATATACATAAAAGAAAGGGATAATATATATCATCATAAGTTTTATGTCATCCTTTTACAAAAAAAAAAAAAACACAAAAACACACACACACAAAAAAAAAAGGAATAAAAGGAATAAAAGGAAAGGGAAAAAGAAAAGTACATCAAAAAGAAGGAAAAAAAAGGCAAAAAGAAAAAATACATCATTCAAAGAAAGAAGAAATAAGCTTGAATCTCTCTTCGTCCTCATTCGTAGTGTGTTATCGGAAGTCTCGACATTGGCACCAGCATTTCCGCCACTATCACTCTCCTTTCTGCTCTCTCCGGAGTCCTTAAAGTGCTCATCAAAAGCCTATGGCTCTAGCTTGGGGATCTCAACAGATACTCTTCTCCCTCTCCTGCCACAGTCATCTCTACCTCAACCTCCTCTCATTTGTGATGGAGCTCGTCCTCCTCTCTCCCTCATGGCTGGAGGGGCTGCTACCTAAAAAAGATAGAGATCATAATATTAGATCAGGTGGCATAAAATAAGCAATATATCGAAAGTGAATGGAGCAAAAGGAACTTCATAGAAGATAAGGCAAGCAAGAAAATGATACCTCAATCCCAAGGGAGACTAGAGATGCCTCCCTCCTCTTGACTATGACCATTAGTGTGTCGATGAGCTCTAGGCACTGATCCATACAACCCATCTCGGGGTACTACAGATATAAAAAAAAAGGTCAATACTGGTATTGAAATAATGAAAAATACATAGAAAGCATTAAGGGAAAGGGTATACCAATCAGGTCTCTAGAGCGAGGATGAGCGATCATCGTCTGAGAGGCTCCAAGGGTAGCTCATCCAAAATGCCATTCGAGTGCTAAAATGTAACTGCTGTGGAAAGTGACGGATACTCAAGAGGAAATGTAGCATTGTCAGCAGGAGATGTGAGACCTCTAGCTGGAGGAGCAGCACCAGCAAAAGCATCACTAGCAGTTGGGGCATCAACAATTTCGATAATGCGAGCCACGCCCTCAGTCAGAGGTGGCATGATGTGAGACCACAGGAATGCAATAGTCTCCGAGAAAGTAGAAGGCATCAATATGCTACCTTAATGCCATGTGATTGATGAGGGCCTCATCAGTGATATCATCAACAATTCTCACGAGTGGAGAAAGAAGAGACGAAATACGAAGATTGACATGGCGCAAGGTCTGGCAAGTGAATCACTTCCCCAAGTACTAGACTCTGCAAAAGGGCCCCTCTAGTGCACCATTATCTAGGAAGTCTCCTAGGTGACAACATACCTCTCCCTCATTGCGTTGGGCATGGCCGCCCAAGAGTTCAATGAATGATTACCATGTCAACGGTCACCGTGTTGAAGAAACAACGAAAGGCGATAAAGTTGCTAATGTGCTGGCTGTAAGGGCAGAGCCTTCCGCCATAGGACAATGAGTGAGGCACTGCCAGAGTTATCTCTAATCTCGGGATCAGGGTGATAGAGGAAAAGTAAGTGTAAAGCCATATCTGCATGGGAAAGCATGTCAGGAAATCAACAGGCAAAAATGGAAATAAAACAAGCAATGAAATATAAATGAATTGAAAGAGAGTGCAAAATGTACCTCCCTTGCCCTCTATTAACCTCCCAGCAGCTCCGCCTTTTAGCGGGGCACAGAGCTCATGTAGCCATAAAATGTGGCAAGGTTAGCTCCACCTAGTCGTACTCCCTCACCCGTTAGAGCTCCACCATGCCGCTCAAAAAGTAGAGTCCTATGGTATTCTCCTTGTTCCCACACAAGGTAGTACCGAGGACATAAAGAAGAACTAGCCAGCATACTGGGCAGCCTCCTCTAGTGTCACTGGCTCTAACCCGTAGAAGTGTTGCTAGAGCCAGTTGTAGCGAATTATCTCATGGCGAGTGAGGGGTGGGACAACCCCAAGAAAGAACATCTGAGCAATGGGTCACTAGATGAGGTCGAGGTCAAACGGGATTGGCTTATCCCCCACTGAGAGACTGGTGATCATGAAGAAGTCATACGGGATCATCGTCATATCCCTGGCAGAAGAGAAATGGAAGGAGTTGGTGGTGTCCCACCACCTCTCTACCAAGGCATCGAAAATCGACCGGTCTGCTTGCAGCGATATGATGCCCAAGCAAAATGGGCCGAATCCAACCCCGTCCACCAAGATACGGACCTCGGTGGGAAGATTTTTGTACCACTAGCAAGGGCCGTAGACGCTCTCATACCCACTCATCAGTCGATCGAGGACCTGTAATAAGCAAGTTGTTAGCATGCAAGAGATTGGAGGTATCGAGAGTTCAAAGCATGGCACACTAAATAAAAAAAGGAAAGAGAGAAATGAATACCATGGTGGAATCATAGGAGAGGTGCCTTGAGCGCTCCCAAATCAATACGTCCTCTATGACCCATTGTGAGAATTTATTACAGCGCAACATCTCCCTCGGGACCATTGTTTTAGTATACGGCTTATAAGCCGTAGGGTCAAATGGCCTCATCCTCAGAGGAAATGGCTCTGGCCCTGCCTCAGTGTCCTCAGCCATGAGGTCCTCGTCATGGCCCTCCATATCCGCAACAAGTGCGGGGACGTCGACCTCAGGCACCGGTGACGTTACATCACCCTCTAAGACAATGACCGGGGGGGAGATGTCAGTATGTGGAGCATCATCACTATCCATAACAATCTATGGAATCAAAAGAAGAGTACGAGAAATCCAACCCAAGTTGTGGGCAATAAAATAAAAAAAAGAATCAAAATGAAGAAATGTAGAAAAGTGTTGAAATATTCTAACATTGTTCAAATTTTGGAAGAAAAATGCAAAATCAATGGCAAATTGATAGGGAAAAAATCCCAAGTAGTTCAATTTCAACAATGTCAAACTAGGGGCAATGTGTATGTAAAAAATAAAAAATAAAAAGCAACAACAACAATAACAACAAGAAGCCTAGCAATGTGAATTAAAAATTTGTGTTAAGCCATGGAATTTTCATTCAATATACAAATCAAGTTAAATTTTATGTTCTAAGTTTTTTTTTTTTTTTTTTTGTGTCTTTGTGTGTAAGTCATTAATTAAAAACAAAGAATTACACATTTACAAGGGGGCATACCCCAGGTAATACAACATATCTAACTTGACCACCCTAGCAAAGGAGAAAAGTAAATAAATAAATCTTACTATAAGAAAGAACATAAAAACCCATCTTTGCCCATATATCCTTTTTGCCCCCCAAGTGACCCCTACCATCAGAGATGATAGAAGGAGACTTGGGGAAGATATATGGGCAATTACAACAATTGAAACACGCACAGGCAAACATTGCCCAGATTCAACATACTAAATAAACACACTGAGCCATTATACATTGGCCCAAACATATTACACCAAGAATTGGGTCCAAAAAAATGAGCCCAACGACGAGCCCAATTAACCAAACCCAATCTCACATCCCATTCTGCTGAAAAGAGGCTGCACCAAAAAAAAACATGTGGCCCAAAAAATGGAGCTCACGTGTTGCAAAATCAGCCCAATAGAACCTTTTAACATAAGGCCATGGTCATCCACCAACTTGGAAAACCATGGACCAAAACCAGCCGTAATAAACATCCACACGTGGGCCACCATGATTTTTTCTAATAGATTTTGGATATGAATTTGAATCCACATGTGGCCCACCTACTACAACACCAAGTTCCACTCTGGGTGGGCAAAGCACAAATCAAACCAAATATATATAAAGCTGATATATCTTTTACTCACGTGGTCCAAAAATCTCCACTTGTCACAACATCTAGTCAACCTCTTCAGGAAAAGATTAACTTTTCCCTCCTAAAGCTGGAGCCAAAACTCAAACTATCACACGGGCCCACTTTGCACCCATGTGCATCCAGCTATACTCCTGCACATCAGGCTATATTTGCTGAGAAGACGTGCAAGCATAAAAAACGCAGGTGACATCAGCTCTGCACCAACTTTTGGACACACGCATATGTAGCAGGCCGTAAGGCACACGCCCAGCTACAGTAATCTCAAACTCCATAACAATAACGCCTGCAAGATTGGAAACTGTCACCGGCGTGAACCATAGATAAATACACAACAAAACAAAAAATAGATGATGCCTCAGAACGCAGCGAAACGCCCAGAAACAAGCAGCGCACGCTGAATCCACCAACACGCGGCCTTTATGTCAATATAGTAGCAGCGGTGCTAGTAGACCAAAAACCCACCCGACGCCGAAAAACCCTTCACCTGTCTGGGCATGAACACGACCACCATGAACAAAAACTAGAACAAACTGGAACCAAACTAGAGCAAAACACCTCTTTCCCAACCAATGCCGAAGTGGATAGGCTCCCAAATCGTAAAACACATCCATCCAGGATATAACCCCGCAGAGTAGTGCTAGAACACCTACTCATGTGAGACTACTGAAGTAGACCAAGGCAGCAACACACCGCACAATCACGCCGACGAAATCAAATCGGAGGAGAAAATAACCTGAGCAGAGAAGTATCACGGAGGATCCCTTTTCACTCCAAGCACTTCATGCCGAGAAAGAGGCAACTCTGGCCAGAGATCAACCAGCAGCACTAGTACTATATACTCACTCGCCCACAGCTTTTAGGTAGAGAGCTTAAACAAACTGGCCGGAGAGACAAAACGACCATGGCGCCACCCACAACCAGAGCTCCTTAGTGCAGATAACACACCCATTCCCACCACCCATCTCCCTCTAGAACAAAAGAGAGAGGCTAACAACACAGTAAAGCCCAAAACAGCCCCACTTCGAAACAACAAAATACCTGTGTAGAGCAACACAACCAGCTGGACAAAACTCTATCCATCACCGGAGCAAACCTTCAAACCCTCATAAATCTGGACAACAATAAGCCCAGATTCAGTAACAACACACAGTCCCACCAAAACCAGACCAAGAATCTGATAAGGAACCCTAAAAAACTCCATGGGTAACAACCGAAGGAGCTTTCTCTCTCTAGATTCTAGAGAGAGAAGCTCTCAACCTAATCCCCTTTTCACTTTTCCCTTATCATATTTTTTGTTCCAAGTTTCATTTGGTAAAGGGAAGGCATATAATGTACTTGTGAGTAATCTATGTCAAATTCTAAGGAAAATTGTCCAAATTCATGAGTAATCGACCAAGCAATCAGTATGGTATGAAATCAATGGCTAATCAGTAAGTGACTACCCACAATTCAAGCAATTCAAGGCAAATTCAAGCACAATTCAAGGCAAATTCAAGCAATTCAAGGCACATTCAAGAAATTCAAGGGACATCAAGAAGCAAATCAGGGAAATTGCTCACTTTCATGAGCAAATTAATCAAGGTTGTTTTGAGAAATTACCTTAGCCTTTAAGAATCACCAAGAATCAGTCCAATTTGTGAAGATTTAAGACCAAAACCGTGCAAAACAAAGAACAACCTGCAAAATCAAGAGAAATAATGAGGAAGTGGCTCTAATCGTGAGGAATCACCAAGAGTAAGCCAAAATGTTGAAGAAATATCTCTAAATCGTGGGTAATCCAGTCAATATCAAGCACAATCACCAAACTCCACCATTTGAGAAATCAATCAGCTCAAAATGCGGAGGGGTGTCAAAAATCAAGGGGAATGGTGAGGGTTTGTGAAATTCTTGTGTTAAATCAAGCCCAAATCATAGTTTGAACTTCCAAATCGCGTAAAATCAAACAAAAGACCAAGAAATTTACCAATTTTGGAAACCAAAGGTACAAAGGGCTGAAAATCGAGGCAAATTCAAGGGGAAATCAACTTCGGGTCTTGGGTAATACAAAAATGAAGAGAGAATCTAGAGAGAGAGTTTCGGAGGGAGGGAAGATGTGTATTAGATGTGAGTTTGTGAGGAAAATGAGCCCTAACTTCTTTTGAAGCCAATCGGGTTGTCTAACCCATTTTTTGCCCCGATGTCGCAGAAATTTGCTGGCCAACTCTTTTTTTGGCCAGCCGGCTAAGTTTTGTGCTATGTGGAAATTTTGTTGACCAATCGGCACTTCTTTTGGCTAGGTGGATCATTTGTTGGCCGAGTGGCTCATCTTTTGTCCAAGTCAGCCATATGTTGGTCGGGTAGGTCACATTTTAGCCGGTTAGCTCATAATTTGGCCGAATTGCTCTAATTTTGTACAGGAATTTTGAAAATTGGCCGGGTCACTTCTATTTTTGTACGGTTGGTTTCATGCGATGAGGTCAGGTGTGCTTGTTTTCATTAAGTGATGATCAAGTGGCATGCCCAAATCATCTCCGTTCTCAGAAACTCAAAAGTAGCATTCATAATATATGCCTTAGTGATTTCGACATTGATTCAGATTACTCGGTTAGAACCTTCCCCCTCTCCGTATGAAATACGGTTAGGTACGCCTGTTGGTTGCACCACCTTGCCTCCTCCTATGTGAAACATGTTAGGATTTCAGATTACCGGTTAAAACATTTTCCCTCTCCGTGTGAAATACGGTTAGGTACACCTGTTGATTACGCTACCATTTCCTCCTCTCGTGTGAGACGCATTTGGATCTCAAGTTGGATCACAAGTTCACACTTTCTCCTCTCACGTGAGACGTATACTATTATCGGCTGTGTGGAAGCACGTAAGTCCAACTTTTAATCGGTTGTGCGGTAGCGCGTAAGTCCAGCTATCATCGGTTGCGTGGAAGCACATAAGTCCAACTTTCATTGGTTGTACGAAAGCGTGTATATCCAACTCTGAACCGACTATGCGAAAACGTGTAAGTCCAACTTTGAATCAGCTGTGCAGAAGCACGTAAGTCCAATTTTTAATTTCATTTTGAGCACATTATTTGCACGAGGTTTGCCTCGCATGTTGCCATCTTTGCAGCTTTATCATCATTGCATTGTATTGCATCAATAATGAATTTTTGAAACAAAAATTGGTTTCGCAAAGCGTGTAAGTCCAACTTTCAATTGCCTTTTGAGCATATCATTTGCATTCTGCCCCAGCACTACGCTAATTTGATTCTTTGCAAAGGGATACATAGGCAACCCTCCGATTCAACCAACTATATTTGTATCTTCTTTTTTGCCCGGGCCTTATTGCCTTGTCAAAAAGGTCATGTTTGGGCTTTGACATTCACTCATGTCATGAAATGACTCTGAGTTCTGTCAAAGAAGGACAACTGTAGACACCCCATTTTGACTGGCCCTAAGACTCAGGCGTTTGCATTTAATTACCTGGTGATGAAAACAACAAGATATTTCTCACAATATCCTCAGTAAGAAAGATGGAATGTTTGCTTCATTTCCAACCGTAAGCCTATTTTGGCCAAGTGTTCAAGCCCCATTCAAAACTCTCTTTCAAAAGTTTCTTTTCGCGCTTTGTTTCAAATATTTTTGTAGTGTTCCAAGGCTCACTTTTAAGCTTCAAAATAAGACTTTTTCTGAGGAAATCGAGCAAAGAACAACGTGGAAATAAGAGGAAAATATGATAATTTTGTCAAAAAAATCCTATTTCGTGCAAAATGGTCAGCTACGACCAACTTTGTCGGCCATCCAGCCAATTAATTGTCCAGTTAGCCAAGGTTTTTTGATCGGCCGGCTAATTTTCCCCAAAATAGGGTAGTTTTGGCAGAATTTTCGTTAGAAGTGTGTGGAACATGCTATTCCAAATATTTCTTGATACATGCATGCACGAGATACACACCTCCTGGCCTTCCACTATCTTCCTTTGACCTCCATTATCAAAAGAGCATTTGTCTCTTACCCCAAAAAGAGCATCAAATGCAACCATCCTTGTCACTCCATCATCCTTGCCTTCTACCTTGTCCCCTCCCACCTACTTGATCACCTTCTCCACTAAGCATTCTTGTGTTGCCTATATGAAGGTGATCAGATTGTTAGGAGAAGAGGATTAAAAACCAAGAGAAGAAAGTTAGAGAGACAAAAGAAAAGCTTAAGCTTTGAACCCAAAACTCCCATTTTCGAATATACACCATCATACACTAATATTCCATCCTTAATACACCAAAACCATCCCGAAACGTCTGATATAGCCAAGCCTTGGTAGCCTTAAATAAAAGAGTAAGTGTTTTTGAAAGAGAGGAAAACTGAGAACTCTCCCACACACTCTATTAAACATCCAAAAACCTCATTCACTCAAAAATTTCAAATTTTCTAACTAAGAACTAAGAAATACACTTCCTCAACTTGAGGGTGATCAAAAGAAAGTTTGGAAATCAAATCCTTTCCTTGGACAGTGAATTTTGCACATTTTTCTTTTCTTGTACTTTCTTCCTTATTTTGAGCCTTTTGCTTTAATTTCATTTCATATAGTAAGCTTGTTACACTCTAACTAGGAGTGGTTAGTTAAGCCACCCTCGTATTCGTTAATTGTTTTTTATCTTTGGTGCTTGAAAAGTAGAAAACAGAGTTTCTGGCCTAGCTTGATTGGCCAGCTGACATTTTGTGTATAGCAAAACAGTCTCCAATGGTCTCCGAGACCCCACCTGAAGCTTTTATTTATTTTTATTTTTTTTATTTTTCTTTTAATTTAAGAGAGATCTGTGAGGATATATCTTGTTGTAATATTTTCTTTCTTTTCTCCCCCTATTCGAATTTGCAATATTCAAATGTTGTAATAATTCCCCACTCACCCCATTCTTTACTTGCTTTCCATATCTATACATATGTAGTATATTTTGTTTATCGTCATATCTATGCTTTACAACCATGTTTAATGCATCTTAATTCGGCTAAATTTTTTGTGGGTTTAATTGATTATTACATGATTTATGCACAACTTCATGTTCTTGATATGAATCACATGTCATATTTTAGAAGCCAAATCACTAGTTACATATCATGAATGAATTGCATTAGAACCTTGTATATAGGATCATGCATGCTTTACTAACTTTATTTTGTAATTGTTGGTGGGACGTTGGAAAATATGGAAGCTTTTATGCTTTAGTATCCCATTTGTGTAAGTTTTTCTTACTACATTTAGCATCCTACCACACGCTATGTGCTTGTTTGGTATATCTCTATGAATGCTTGTGAATGGAGGTTGTGTTGTTCAATTTGAAACAAAATTGATTTTCATGTTGCAAACTCAAGTTTCCATCAAGTTATTTAAAATGCTTTCAAAAATACATGAAATTGAATTGTTCCAAAATAAATGACACAATCTATACTCGTTTTCTTTACATAGTAATTTTAGTATTTATTAAATAACCAGAATACGAACATATAAAGCAAATAAAATTCATATCATGGCTTAGTAGAGACCGATCTTTGATCTAGTGAGCGAGGACTAGATCGGAGATGCTCAATTAAGGACCTTCCCTTCTCATACCTAAGGTTCCGAGCCAAGCAACTTTGGTTATGATGAATAGTGGCCTTAGCACGTGTCACGGGTTTTCTAATCCCCCAAAAATATTAGGTGACTACTCTGAGATCTGGTGATGTATTCCATTTCTGATAAAGATTTTTACAAAAAAATAAATTTTCATAAAAGTTGCATAATCTGGACTCGCATCTACGTTTCACATTGCACTCATGAGACTAGATCAAAGATACTGCGGGTCTGAACTGTTAACACGCGCAGTATCCCCTAGGCATGTTACACACCCCTCATGTGCATCTATTGCACAATTGCAGAGCTCTCGTGAATCTACCACGCAAGTGCACTCCTTTTGTACATCAATCGCATAATCCAACCACTTTTGTGCATCTAGTGCACAACTGCACCGCTTTCGTGCATCTATCTCACGATCGCATCACTTTTGTGCATCTATCGCACGATTACACACCTTTTGTGCATTTATCACACAATCCCACTACTCTTGTGCATCTATTGCACGATCACAGCATCCATCAAATTATTTTGTGCATTCATTAAACCGCTCTTATGCATCTATCACATGATCACACCGTTCTCATGCATTTATTACATAAGCCAATAGCTCTCGTGCATCCATCGCACGATCGTACCGCTCTTGTGCATCTATCGCACAATCGCATTGTTCTCATACATCTATTGCACTATGTATTGCATCTATCGCATCACATTCTTTATCTTATACCATTCCTCCTTTTGCGTAAAGTGCATTTGGATCTCAGGTTCACTTCGTTATACCTTCTCCTATTCTATTCAAGGCACGTTTAGTCTTGCTTGTTGGTCAGGCTTGCATTCACTCAAGTGAGGCATGTTTGTTTGCATCGCACCTTAATTTGTTTCATATCATTTGCACAAGACTTACCTCACATATTGTCATCTTCACATCTTTATCACCGTTACATTGCATTGCACAAATCATAAATTTTCAAAACAACAAGCTACATGAAGGGTGTAAGTCCAACCCTCAATTGCGTTTCTAGCATATCATTTGCATCCTGCCCCCAAACTACACTAGTTTGATTCCTTATAAAGGGATACATAGGCAACCTTCGGGTTCAACCAACTACATCTGCCTTTTTTTTATTAGCCCAAGTCTTACATCCTTGACGACTATAAACTACCTGCAGTAGTTTGAAAATAACGTATAGTTTAAATTTCAAGGACAAAATTTATTTAAGGCGGATAGATTGTGAAATCTCGTATTTTGAGGTATTAATATTTTAGTATGAGATATTGAGGATTGATTATAATAATTTGATGGAGAGATTTTTGGATAAGAACCTAATTTATTTCTTTGTATCTCCTTTATATCTAAATCATTATTGTTCATCTCTTTTTGAAAATAAATTGTTTCAATTTCTCATCCTTTCCAATCATTCTTTCGATAAAAATAAAAAGAGAAAGAAAAGAAAAGAAAAGAAATATATATATATATATATAACGTGGCCGATATGGTACTACACCATCTTTTCAATTCCGTTATTTATTTATTTTACTTATTTTACTTTTACCTCATCTTTCTCCATATTTTCAATTTAAAAAAAAAAAAAATGGCCGACAAGCCAATGAGGCTGCCAACCACTCCTCCTTTCCCTTTAATTATTTAGTTATTTTATCCATTTATTTACCTTATCCCTCTAGATAAACTCATGTCCCCACCAATTCCTATCTTTGCT